ACTGGGGATCTTCATTGACTTACGTAAAGCTTTTGATACAGTTGACCATGACTTGCTCCACGTAAAATTGTCACACTATGGTATTAGAGGGCACTCCCTCAACTACCTCAAGTCTTACCTCAGCAACAGAAGCCAATATGTGTACGCAAATGGGGCAAGCTCTTCCGCACAACCAATTACAGTTGGTGTCCCACAGGGAAGTGCCCTTGGCCCTCTTCTCTTTCTCCTATACATAAATGACCTACCAAATGCTTCGCAATTACTCAAACCCACACTTTTTGCAGATGACACCACATACGTCTTCTCTCACCCGAGCCCAGTCACGCTAGCCAATACTGTAAACACCGAATTACAGAAAATATCTACCTGGATGAGGACTAACAAACTTACACTAAACATAGACAAAACCTACTTCATTCAGTTTGGTAGCAGAGCTACAGATGTACCTCTTAACATAACGATAAACGGATCACCTATCACAAAGCTAACAGAGGGAAAATTCTTAGGAATCCACCTCGATAATAGACTCAAATTTCATACACATATACAACAAATTTCTAAGAAAATTTCCAAGACTGTAGGCATACTATCGAAGATACGGTACTATGTTCCACAGTCAGCCCTCCTGGCCCTTTATCACTCTCTTATTTACCCCTATCTCACCTATGGAATTTGTGCATGGGGCTCAACAACAACTAACCATCTCAGACCACTAATTACCCAACAAAAGGCTGCAGTTAGAATGATAACAAATTCTCACTACAGGCAGCACACTCCACCAATATTCAAAACACTCAACCTACTCAACATACAAAACATCCATACGTTTTATTGCACTTATTACATACATAGAACACTTAACTCTGATATTAACCCTCCCCTCAAACATCTCCTTGCCAACCTCAACAGAACACATGACCATAATACAAGGCACAGATCACTCTTTGATGTTCCTCGTGTCCATCTCACACTATGCAAAAACTCAATGCACATAAAAAGGCCCTAAAATCTGGAATTCATTACCTGTAAATATAAAAGAAACACTACCTGTTTATAAATTCAAGTCTCTTCTCAAAGTTCACTTACTCACTCAAAACCAAATAAATACTGAATAACTGAACCATATAAATTGTATATCCTAAATGTTACTCACAATTATATCACACAAATGTTAAACCTAACTTTATTTTTTTAAATACACTGCCTAACAGAATACTCCATTCTACTGAATGAACAGCAATGCATGCAACCATAGGACCTGTCTTTGTAATACTCATTTGTATTTTATAGTTATCTGTTTACAATAATGTCTTATCACTGATTTCATCATTGCTTAGTTAATCTTAAGTTAATTTTAAGCCAGTCCGTAATGCTATGCATATAAGTGGCTTTGGCATGCTGCTCTTACCTGTATTTTTTGTACCTCTGTTTGTACGCTAAAATTTCTAAATAAATAAATAAATAAATAAATACTGAAGTGGCAAGGCCTATAGGTGGCAGCACCAGCATGACGCAAAATATGAACTAAGCTGGCAGACAGCATGGGCTGTCTGTGCAGACAGTACAGGCTGTCTACAACTATGACTGGGGAGGATGTGAGAGTTACCGTCTCAGATGTAACTATGACTGGGGAGGATGTGAGAGTTACCGTCTCAGATGTAACTATGACTGGGGAGGATGTGAGAGTTAGTCTCAGATGTAACTATGACTTGGGAGGATGTGAGAGTTACAGTCTCAGATGTAACTATGACTGGGGAGGATGTGAGAGTTACCATCTCAGATGTAACTATGACTGGGGAGGATGTGAGAGTTACCGTCTCAGATGTAACTATGACTGGGGAGGATGTGAGAGTTACCGTCTCAGATGTAACTATGACTGGGGAGGATGTGAGAGTTACCGTCTCAGATGTAACTATGACTGGGGAGGATGTGAGAGTTACAGTCTCAGATGTAACTATGACTGGGGAGGATGTGAGAGTTACCGTCTCAGATGTAACTATGACTGGGGAGGATGTGAGAGTTACAGTCTCAGATGTAACTATGACTTGGGAGGATGTGAGAGTTACAGTCTCAGATGTAACTATGACTGGGGAGGATGTGAGAGTTACCGTCTCAGATGTAACTATGACTGGGGAGGATGTGAGAGTTACCGTCTCAGATGTAACTATGACTGGGGAGGATGTGAGAATTACCATCTCAGATGTAACTATGACTGGGGAGGATGTGAGAGTTACCGTCTCAGATGTAACTATGACTGGGGAGGATGTGAGAGTTACCGTCTCAGATGTAACTATGACTGGGGAGGATGTGAGAGTTACCGTCTCAGATGTAACTATGACTGGGGAGGATGTGAGAGTTACAGTCTCAGATGTAACTATGACTGGGGAGGATGTGAGAGTTACCGTCTCAGATGTAACTATGACTGGGGAGGATGTGAGAGTTACAGTCTCAGATGTAACTATGACTGGGGAGGATGTGAGAGTTACCGTCTCAGATGTAACTATGACTGGGGAGGATGTGAGAGTTACCGTCTCAGATGTAACTATGACTGGGGAGGATGTGAGAGTTAGTCTCAGATGTAACTATGACTGGGGAGGATGTGAGAGTTACAGTCTCAAATGTAACTATGACTGGGGAGGATGTGAGAGTTACCGTCTCAGATGTAACTATGACTGGGGAGGATGTGAGAGTTACCGTCTCAGATTTAACTATGACTGGGGAGGATGTGAGAGTTACCGTCTCAGATGTAACTATGACTGGGGAGGATGTGAGAGTTACAGTCTCAGATGTAACTATGACTGGGGAGGATGTGAGAGTTACCGTCTCAGATGTAACTATGACTGGGGAGGATGTGAGAGTTAGTCTCAGATGTAACTATGACTGGGGAGGATGTGAGAGTTACAGTCTCAGATGTAACTATGACTGGGGAGGATGTGAGAGTTACCGTCTCAGATGTAACTATGACTGGGGAGGATGTGAGAGTTACCGTCTCAGATGTAACTATGACTGGGGAGGATGTGAGAGTTACAGTCTCAGATGTAACTATGACTGGGGAGGATGTGAGAGTTACAGTCTCAGATGTAACTATGACTGGGGAGGATGTGAGAGTTACCGTCTCAGATGTAACTATGACTGGGGAGGATGTGACAGTTACAGTCTCAGATGTAACTATGACTGGGGAGGATGTGAGAGTTACTGTCTCAGATGTAACTATGACTGGGGAGGATGTGAGAGTTACCGTCTCAGATGTAACTATGACTGGGGAGGATGTGAGAGTTAGTCTCAGATGTAACTATGACTGGGGAGGATGTGAGAGTTACTGTCTCAGATGTAACTATGACTGGGGAGGATGTGAGAGTTAGTCTCAGATGTAACTATGACTGGGGAGGATGTGAGAGTTACCGTCTCAGATGTAACTATGGCTGGGGAGGATGTGAGAGTTACCGTCTCAGATGTAACTATGACTGGGGAGGATGTGAGAGTTACCGTCTCAGATGTAACTATGACTGGGGAGGATGTGAGAGTTACCGTCTCAGATGTAACTATGGCTGGGGAGGATGTGAGAGTTACCGTCTCAGATGTAACTATGACTGGGAGGATGTGAGAGTTACAGTCTCAGATGTAACTATGGCTGGGGAGGATGTGAGAGTTACCGTCTCAGATGTAACTATGACTGGGGAGGATGTGAGAGTTACCGTCTCAGATGTAACTATGGCTGGGGAGGATGTGAGAGTTACCGTCTCAGATGTAACTATGACTGGGGAGAATGTGAGAGTTACAGTCTCAGATGTAACTATGACTGGGGAGGATGTGAGAGTTAGTCTCAGATGTAACTATGACTGGGGAGGATGTGAGAGTTAGTCTCAGATGTAACTATGACTGGGGAGAATGTGAGAGTTACCGTCTCAGATGTAACTATGACTGGGGAGGATGTGAGAGTTACCGTCTCAGATGTAACTATGACTGGGGAGGATGTGAGAGTTACAGTCTCAGATGTAACTATGACTGGGGAGGATGTGAGAGTTACAGTCTCAGATGTAACTATGACTGGGGAGGATGTGAGAGTTACAGTCTCAGATGTAACTATGACTGGGGAGGATGTGAGAGTTACCGTCTCAGATGTAACTATGACTGGGGAGAATGTGAGAGTTACCGTCTCAGATGTAACTATGACTGGGGAGGATGTGAGAGTTACAGTCTCAGATGTAACTATGACTGGGGAGGATGTGAGAGTTACAGTCTCAGATGTAACTATGACTGGGGAGAATGTGAGAGTTACAGTCTCAGATGTAACTATGACTGGGGAGGATGTGAGAGTTACAGTCTCAGATGTAACTATGACCTCGGAGGATGTGAGAGTTACAGTCTCAGATGTAACTTTGACTGGGGAGGATGTGAGAGTTACCGTCTCAGATGTAACTATGACTGGGGAGGATGTGAGAGTTACCGGGGGAGGAGTACTCAGATGTAACTATGACTGGGGAGGATGTGAGAGTTACAGTCTCAGATGTAACTATGACTGGGGAGGAATGTGAGAGTTACTGTCTCAGATGTAACTATGACTGGGGAGGATGTGAGAGTTACAGTCTCAGATGTAACTATGACTGGGGAGGATGTGAGAGTTACAGTCTCAGATGTAACTATGACTGGGGAGGATGTGAGAGTTACCGTCTCAGATGTAACTATGACTGGGGAGGATGTGAGAGTTACCGTCTCAGATGTAACTATGACTGGGGAGGATGTGAGAGTTACCGTCTCAGATGTAACTATGACTGGGGAGGATGTGAGAGTTACCGTCTCAGAGGTAACTATGACTGGGGAGGATGTGAGAGTTACCGTCTCAGAGGTAACTATGACTGGGGAGGATGTGAGAGTTACCGTCTCAGAGGTAACTATGGTTGGTTCACCCTTCCAGTACATCTTACAGCTCCTGTCTAGTTTCTAGTTGATGATTTAAGTGATTGTTCCTTTTTTTTTTTATTTAATGTATTGTCTTTCAGAGATCCAGAAACTAGTGTTGGGAGGGCGCTTGGGTGAGGCTATAGAAACAGTGCAACAGCTTTATCCAGGGTTACTGGAGAACAATCACAATCTACTCTTTATGTTGAAGGTCAGTTCTGTGTGTTGCTCATCTCACAACTATATTACTTATCACAGTTACAGGCCCTTCAGGTCAAGTGTCTTGATGATGGTTATAGTAGTACAGTGGACCCCCGCTTAACGATCACCTCCAAATGCGACCAATTATGTAAGTGTATTTATGTAAGTGCATTTGTACGTGTATGTTTGGGGGTCTGAAATGGACTAATCTACTTCACAATATTCCTTATGGGAAAAAATTCGGTCAGTACTGGCACCTGAACATACTACTGGAATGAAAAAAGTTCGTTAACCGGGGGTCCAATGTAGTAGTAGACTAAATACTGTATTTATACAGTGTGGGCAAACAGATCAGTGCAGCTTAAATAAAGTTAATAAGTCTTCTTCTGTCAACAAACTGGCCATATCCTACTGAGGCAGGGTGACCTAAAAAGAGAAACAAAAGCTTCTCTTTTTAACTTGAGTAATGTACACAGGAGAAGGGGTTACTAGCCCCTTGCTCCAGGCATTTTAGATGCCTCTTAGGAGACGCATGGCTTACGGAGGAAGAATTCTGTTTCACTTCCCCATGGAGAAAGTAGTAAGTAATCCATTTTATTTCAGGTGCGACAGTTTATAGAAATGGTAAACGGTACAGACACCGAAGTTCGAGGTGTTTCAAGGTCTCCGTCTCGACCTCCCACTCACGAGTCCTCGCCCTCACCTCCCTGTTGGTCCAATGGCAGGACAACAGATCCAGTGCCTGGTAAGCGAACATTGAGAGCTCACAGTAACCCACCTGCTGATGTACTGTTTTGAAATAATACTCCGAAACACTGTCTCCCATATTTAGTTTTAAGAACTGTGTAAAGTAAGATTTTGTACTCTGGTATATTTTTTAATAAATGATTTAGAAAATTGACAAGATGATAAATGAGATGCTTGTACAACATTTGGGTATCTATTCTGGAAACATTTTGCCAGCCAGTGGTTTTCTTCAGTCTAATGCAGAGAAAGGTGGAAGATGGGGAGTTCGAGGTAATCAGTCCCTCAGTCTGGACTGAACACATTGACTCCAGGCTGAGGGACTGATTACCTCAAGATTCTCATCTTCCACCTTACTCTGCATTGGACTGGAAAAGCCACTGGCTGGCAAAATGTTTCCAGAATCAAGATATCCTAATATTGCACATAAATATGTTTTTGCGAATTGTTGCAGAACCTTTCAGGCTGAACCTCATGCTGGTGGGGAGAAATCATTGCAGAACCTTTCAGACTGAACCTCATACTGTTGGGGAGAAATCATTGCAGAACCTTTCAGACTGAACCTCATGCTGGTGGTGACAAATCATTGCAGAACCTTTCAGACTGAACCTCATACTGTTGGGGAGAAATCATTGCAGAACCTTTCAGACTGAACCTCATGCTGGTGGTGACAAATCATTGCAGAACCTTTCAGACTGAACCTCATACTGTTGGGGAGAAATCATTGCAGAACCTTTCAGACTGAACCTCATGCTGGTGGGGAGAAATCATTGCAGAACCTTTCAGGCTGAACCTCATGCTGGTGGTGACAAATCATTGCAGAACCTTTCAGACTGAACCTCATACTGTTGGGGAGAAATCATTGCAGAACCTTTCAGGCTGAACCTCATGCTGTTGGGGAGAAATCATTGCAGAACCTTTCAGACTGAACCTCATGCTGGTGGGGAGAAATCATTGCAGAACCTTTCAGGCTGAACCTCATGCTGGTGGGGAGAAATCATTGCAGAACCTTTCAGACTGAACCTCATACTGTTGGGGAGAAATCATTGCAGAACCTTTCAGACTGAACCTCATGCTGGTGGTGACAAATCATTGCAGAACCTTTCAGACTGAACCTCATACTGTTGGGGAGAAATCATTGCAGAACCTTTCAGACTGAACTCATGCTGGTGGTGACAAATCATTGCAGAACCTTTCAGACTGAACCTCATACTGTTGGGGAGAAATCATTGCAGAACCTTTCAGACTGAACCTCATGCTGGTGGGAGAAATCATTGCAGAACCTTTCAGGCTGAACCTCATGCTGGTGGTGACAAATCATTGCAGAACCTTTCAGACTGAACCTCATACTGTTGGGGAGAAATCATTGCAGAACCTTTCAGGCTGAACCTCTGCTGGTGGGAGAAATCATTGCAGAACCTTTCAGACTGAACCTCATGCTGGTGGGGAGAAATCATTGCAGAACCTTTCAGACTGAACCTCATGCTGGTGGGGAGAAATCATTGCAGAACCTTTCAGACTGAACCTCATGCTGGTGGGGAGAAATCATTGCAGAACCTTTCAGACTGAACCTCATACTGTTGGGGAGAAATCATTGCAGAACCTTTCAGACTGAACCTCATGCTGGTGGTGACAAATCATTGCAGAACCTTTCAGGCTGAACCTCATGCTGGTGGGGAGAAATCATTGTAGAAAAATCCTCCTCTTACGTAGCTGCCAGACTTTATAATAGGTTACCAGTATCACTTGAGAGTCAAGCATCTGTTCGTGCTTTTAAGATTCAGTTGAAAGCTGTCTTTCTCCTTGAGTTTATGATCCTGGTGGTCATTCTCTTACTGGAATAAAAAATTGAGTACTGTGGTCCCTCGTTTATCATCATTAATCCGTTCCTGGAAGTGCGATGATTATCGAAATAGACGATTTTCTAATCAATTTTCCCCATAAGAAATAATGTAAATACATACAATTAATCCGTTCCTGACACCCAGAAGTATTAAAAAAAAAATTTTTTTTACATGAAATATAGATGTAGTACATAATACAATGGCACATGAATGAAACGTTAACAGCATAACACTTACCTTTATTGGCGATTCTTCTTAGTGTGTGGAAGACTGGAGGAGGAGAAAGATTGGATTAGTTACTGTTTGGAAGGGGAATCCCCTTCCATCAACACCTCGGGCACCAAGTCCTTTTCTGGGGCTATTTTCTCTTCTCTGTTTCTTAATGCCACTAGGACCAGCTTGAGAGTCACTGGAGTTCTGTCTCACAAAAAAAGTGTCCAGAGAGCTCTGCTTCTGGCGTCTCTTTAAAACTTTCTTTAAATTTGCCAAGACTGTTACTGTACAAGTTGCCGATATGGCTTGCAACATCCTTCTCAGGGTGATGTTTCTCCATAAATCTTTCCATCCTACCCCACATTTCAAAAATCTCCTTAATTTCTGAAGAAGGCACCTTCTTCCATCTCTCTTCCTCCTCCTCTGCAGCAAGATTCTGATCTGCAATCTGTTGCTCTTCCTGCTGAAGCTCTTGCAGCTCCTCAGTGGTTAGCTCTTCGTTGTGGTCCTTCACCAACTCTTCCACATTCTCCAAACTCACATCCAACCCCATGGAACTCCCCAATGCCACAATAGAGTTCACAACAGACATAGGCTCATCAGGGTCAGCCACAAACCCTTCAAAATCCCTCTTGTGGACACAATCTGGCCACAATTTTCTCCAAGCAGAGTTGAAAGTCCTGTTAGTCACTCCCTTCCAAGCCTTACCTATAAGGCTTATGCAGTGGAGAATACTGAAGTGTTCTTTCCAAAAATCTCTTAGGGTCAAGTGAGTGTCTGAGGTCACATTAAAGCACCTTTGAAACATTGCTGAGGTGTAGTTTTTTTTAAAGTTTGAAATGACCTGCTGGTCCATGGGCTGGAGGAAAGGAGTGGTATTCGGGGGCAAGAACTTTACTGTGATGAACCCAAACTCCTGCAGAATTAGGTCATCCAAGCTTGGAGGATGAGCAGGTGCATTGTCCATTACTAGGAGGCACTTGAGATCCAATTTCTTTTCCAGGAGGTAATTCTTCACACTAGGGCCAAACACTTCATCGAACCACTCGACGAAAATTTCCCTCGTGACCCATGCCTTATTATTAGATCTCCAAAACACACACAATTTACTCTTCATAACATTGTTTTTCCTGAACACTGGGATTTTCAGAATGGTACACTAGTAACGGCTTCACTTTGCATTTTCTTCCAAAAGAGGCCTGTTTCGTCACAATTGAACACTTGCTCAGGTTTCAGTCCTTCAGCCTCTATGTACTCCTTGAATTCACTTGCGAATTTTGTAGCTGCAATTTTGTCCAAACTGGCAGCCTCACCATGACTTACCACACTGTGTATGCCACTACAGTTCTTAAATCTCTCAAACCAACCTTTGCTGGCCTTAAATTCACAAATAACAGTACTCGTTGCAGGCAGTTTCTTTACCAGATCGTCATGCAACTGCCTAGCCTTTTCACAAATAATCGACGTCATAAGACTATCTCCTGCTAATTGTCTCTCGTTTATCCACACCAATAATAACTTCTCAACATCTTCGAGTACTGGTGATCTCATTTTTGTCAGCATATTTACCCCCTTTGCAACAACAGCTTCCTTGATTTCCTTTTTCTTGGCCATGATGGAAGATATGGTTGTACGGGATTTGTTATACATACTGGCCAGTTCGGCCACGCGTACGCCACTTTCATATTGTTCAGTGATGTTTTTCTTTAACTGAATCGTATTTCTCACCTTCTTTACCAAAGGCTTGGCACTAGGAGCTTTCTTTGGAGCCATGGTAGCTTATTTAGCACTTGCAAGCACTAAAATGACTGGAATATTATGAAATATTTCGTATGAACAAGTGAGGGGACCGTCGCTCACTGGTAAACAATGGCACACTGGCTGGGAAGGGAGGCCGAGGCGGCTCAGAGCCGTGACTACGCGTCCAGGACGAACGACAATTAGCGAGCCAACCGACCATTTGCGAGCCAATGTTTGGACGAAAATAACGCGACGATTTACGAAAAGGACGACTATTGAGCCCGACGATTATCGAGGGACCACTGTACTTCTTTCTTCATCGTTGTTGCTTTTGTGGCTGGGTGCGTGAGCACTTGTAAATTTCCAGAAAGAACAGATGGTTTGGTCATTTAAGAGGATGGAGCAAAATAGAATGACTTAGAGGGTGTATAAATCTGTACTGGAGGGGAGGAGGGGTAAGGGTCATCCCAGGAAAGGATGTAGGCAGGGGGAAAAAGAGGTTTTGTGTGCAAGGGGCCTGGACATGTAGCAGGCATGTGTGAGCGTGTTGGATAGGAGTGAATGGAGACGGATGGTTTTTGGGACTTAACGAGCTGTTGGAGTGTGAGCAGGGCAATATTTTGTGAAGGGATTCAAGGAAATCAGTTAGCCGGACTTGAGTCCTGCAGGTGGGAAGTACAAAGCCTGCACTCTAAAAGAGGGGTTTAAGATATTAACTGGAGTGACATCTAAACTGTCATATCTGGGTGCCTGTGCAAAGACAGTGATTATGTGTGAATGACGGTGAAAGTGTTTCTTTTTTGGGTTACCTTGCCTCGGTGGGCGATGCCCGGCATGTTAAAAAATTATCTTATTTTATTATTGATGTTATGAAGACTGTCACTTGTGACTACAGTCTCTGGTTTTAGCTGCAGGAAAAAGAGTTTTGCTCATAATCTTGTCTTCATTACTTAATTTGTCCAGTGGTTGTAACACTTTCCACCTCTTGGATCCCATTGCTGTATCCTGTGAAATGTTTTCCTTCCAGAGATTTGACCCGTGGACCAGGGTGACAAGAGCTTGACTCAGCACCCTAAGAAATTTCACATGCTTTTATAACTTTTAACAGCGTTAAGTCTCCTCTTCGTCTTCTGTCAGTCAGTGAGGGCATTTTTGCTGGTTTCTGCCTTTATGCATAATTTTCATTTTTTTTTTAATCTTGGGAAGCTATTTTATAGTATATCTGACTATGGATTTGAGTGTTTGATTTTTTTTTAAATATCTCCATAACATTTTTAAATTCTTGCATAAAATATGCAACTTGTATACTCTTGTAACCAATATATATACACCTACCATCCGACTTACAACCTGCTCGACATACATCCACTCGACTTACGACTGTGCATCTGGCAGCTGGGCTGGGCCGGCTGATACACACCGCTGTACAATATTTGACAATACTCAAGGCGGCAATGTGTCATGCAGGCAGCATCAGTTTGAGTTACCCTGCCCTATCAGCAGCATCATACTGTATTAACTGTACTAACCGGACAGTAAATTTCACCATGGCCCCTAAGATGAAGTCTGAATCTTGCACTGGAGATTGTGGCAAGAAAGGCTCTTACTCTCGAACTCTCTATTTGTTTTCACTGTTGCACACAAACCTGCCTGTATCTGTCTGCCTCTATATCTCTGTATCTCTGTGTGTCTGTTTATCTGTCTACCTGTGTGTCTGTCTTTCTGTCTACCTGTGTGTCTGTCTTTCTGTCTACCTGTGTCTGTCTCAGAGCCACTCATTATGAGTGTAATTGGTCTTGAAGACACCACATTAATAATGATAATAACACAATAATAATCACTGAGGCGCATTAAATGTGTATAAAACGTTAATATAGACATTTTGCTTAATCCATCTATGATTTCTTTTTCAAAATTATATAATAAACATGCTACATAACATATAAACATATAAATTAACAAATATGAGATGTTTTTCTGGTCGGCTTGACAGAGTGAACAGAAACCATTCGTGTCTGGGCTGGTAACAACAACAACAACAACAATGTTTGTTTACATAACTCACCCACCTTCTACACTCTCATTCGTTTATTCATTTAATTTTGTTTACTCACCTTTCACTCTACATTAAGACTACAGATATTTTAAGGTAAGTAATGAGTGAACACGATTATTATATTATATTATTATTATATTATAGGTGGTTTGGTCATTTAGAGAGAATGGATCAAAGTAGAATGATATGGAAAGCATATAAATCTATAGAGGAAGGAAGGAGGGGTAGGGGTCGTCCTCGAAAGGGTTGGAAAGAGGGGGTAAAGGAGGTTTTGTGGGCGAGGGGCTTGGACTTCCAGCAAGCGTGCATGAGCGTGTTAGATAGGAGTGAATGGAGACGAATGATACTTGGGACCTGACGATCTGTTGGAGTGTGAGCAGGGTAATATTTAGTGAAGGGATTCAGGGAAACCGGTTATTTTCATATAGTCGGACTTGAGTCCTGGAAATGGGAAGTACAATGCCTGCACTTTAAAGGAGGGGTTTGGGATATTGGCAGTTTGGAGGGATATGTTATGTATCTTTATATGTATATGCTTCTAAACTGTTGTATTCTGAGCACCTCTGCAAAAGCAGTGATAATGTGTGAGTGTGGTGAAAGTGTTGAATGATGATGAAAGTATTTTCTTTTTGGGGATTTTCTTTCTTTTTTGGGTTACCCTGCCTTGGTGGGAGATGGCCAACTTGTTGAAAAAAAAAATGTATAATTATAATAATAATAATAATAATAATTATTAATATTATTATTAATTTAGGGCACTGGAGCACAGATCCACTGTATAGCACTTTGTCTGGATTTTTTGGGTTATCCTAGGTAATTTATACTATGTATGAACTTCACTTACGTGTACCTGAGAGAGATACAGAGAGAGAGAGAGATACAGAGAGAGAGAGAGATACAGAGAGAGAGAGAGATACAGAGAGAGAGAGAGATACAGAGAGAGAGAGAGATACAGAGAGAGAGAGAGATACAGAGAGAGAGAGAGATACAGAGAGAGAGAGAGATACAGAGAGAGAGAGAGATACAGAGAGAGAGAGAGATACAGAGAGAGAGAGAGAGACAGAGAGAGAGAGATACAGAGAGAGAGAGATACAGAGAGAGAGAGATACAGAGAGAGAGAGAGATACAGAGAGAGAGAGATACAGAGAGAGAGAGATACAGAGAGAGAGAGATACAGAGAGAGAGAGATACAGAGAGAGAGAGATACAGAGAGAGAGATACAGAGAGAGAGAGAGCCATATTCAGTCAGCCACCCACCCACCCAGCCAGCTACATATTATACATGTTCCAGAGTTGTTTCTCTTTACTTAGGGTATAGGTTACACAACATTCTGGCAGGATGACACTACCAGTGGTCTTCTCCCATTCACTGTGTCGACAATACATAAAGATAACAGTAACACATGATACTGTATGCGATGTAAAATTTACAATACAGTTCACTACCATGTATACATTATATACAGTACATAAATAAAATATAACAATAGAAGTAAATTATGGTAAAAAGATTGAAATAATGATTGTATATTACATTACAGTATTATGTAGGTAGTTTATATAGGAAAAGTTTGACATTATGCCCTACCCAGTATCTCGGCAATTTTCAAAGGTTCGACTTACGTCCATTTTGACTTACGACCAGTTGGTCGGAACCAAGCTTGGTCGTAAGTCGGATGGTAGATGTATATATATATATATATATATATTTTTTAACAAGTCAGCCGTCTCCCACTATAGAGTAAAACCTTTAATTAGCAGTCATCTAATTAATGGATTTCAGCAATTTTGGACAAAAAACTTGGCTGAACAAATGCTGGAAGCATCGCACAAAAAGAAAAAGTCCATAATTCTGGATTTTGTCCGTAGCAATGGTGTTTGGTTGTCTTTTGAAGCATTGGACCAAGTCCAATGACTCCACTGTTTGTCTGGTATTTGCCAAAGCTGCCACATCCAGGGCCTATCTGTTTTCATTGTTCCCCAAGTTGTAGGCCTCCCACACCAGTTTGTACTCAGATGTACATAAATCACTTAGTCTCCAAGTTTCCCTGGATTTAAGGTGTTTTGTATGACTTTATTAATATATTAAGTAAAGCACAATTAGCAATGGCTTCTACAGTAATTGGTGGTGCCAAGAGAAAAAATGTGGTTCTGAGTGTTTAGCAGAAACTTTAATAAAGAAGTTTGAGACTGGCATCTCAGTGGCACAGGTTTGAGGAATATGGTGTTAAGAAACAATGTTTGATATCTGTAGAAGCATGCACAAACTTACACACTGCTCTTAAGTTTAGTGTAGATGCTAGTGGAGCTTTGCAGCTCTTCTGACTCAGCATAAAAAAAAAAAAAGTTATTCTGTGTCACCACTATTGATCACGGCAACTTACATCTCGTCTCTCCACCACAATAAGGTAAGAAAAATTACTGTAAATTATTTCTTCTTTCAACAAACCAGCAGTATCCCACCAAGGCAGGGTGGCCCAAAAAGAAAAAACTAAAGTTTCTCTTTTTAACTTTAGTAATATATTCAGAAGAAGGGGTTACTAGCCCCTTGCTCCCGGCATTTTAGTCACCTCTTACCACACGTATGGCTTACGGAGGAAGAATTGTGTTCCACTTCCCCATGGAGATAAGAGGAAATTAACAAGAACTAGTAAGTGTAATGTGATCTAAGTGTAAGTAGAAGTAGCAAGATGTACCTGAAATCTTGCATGTTTATGAGATAGAAAAAAGACACCAGCAATCCTACCATCATGTAAAACAATTACAGGTTTTTGTTTTACTCACTTGGCAGGATGGTAGTACCTCTCTGGGCAGTTGCTGTTTACCAACCTACTCTTCTTCTTCTTTCAACGTACCAGCCGTATCCCACCGAGGTGGGGCGGCCCAAAAGAAAAAACTGAAGTTTCTCCTTTTAAATTTAGTAATATATACAGGAGAAGGGGTTACTAGCCCCTTGCTCCCGGCATTTTAGTCGCCTCTTACAACACGCATGGCTTACAGAGGAAGAATTCTGTTCCACTTCCCCATGGAGATAAGAGGAAATAAACAAGAACAAGAATTAGAAAGAAAATAGAAGAAAACCCAGAGGGGTGTGTATATATATATGCTTGTACATGTATGTGTAGTGTGACCTAAGTGTAAGTAGAAGTAGCAAGACTTACCTGTAATCTTGCATATTTATGAGACAGACAAAAGACACCAGCAATCCTACCATCATGTAAAACAATTACAGGCTTTCGTTTTACACTCACTTGGCAGGACGGTAGTACCTCCCTGGGCGGTTGCTGTCTACCAACCTACTACCTAGAATAATTACAGATGTCCTTAATTCATCAGTGAGGCTTCTGTTTCTTCTCTTCTCTTATTCTCATACCATACACAAACTCTGTGTATGGTACAGTTTATTCCTTGAAATGGAATAGTGAGTTGTGTACTGACCTAGTTGTATTCACTCAATTGTGTTTGCAGGGGTTGAGTCACAGCTTCTGGCTCTTCCTTTCAACTCTTATCGCCCTTTGTTTATCTTCTCAGGCACATCGTCCACACCTCCCTCCTCCTCCACCACTTCCACACCTGTCATTCAGCAGCACACATCAGTCATCCAGTCCACCAAGAATGTTATAAGTAGTGGGCAGACTTCTGCCTCGCCTGTCACCACTGAGGAGCTCAATCAGCGCAATGCTCAGGATCTCCGAGCCAGCAGCCCGCCCAGTGCTACAAACGGCACCACTCCAGTTATTCACCTTCCAGTGCCCTCTGGTTCCTCCTCCTCCTCCTCGTCGTCGTCAACATCGTCTAATTCATCATCAAATATGCATGACAGTGATACAGAGATGGAATGTATGGAAGCAAATAGTCACCATTTACAAGAAACCAATAATAGCCTTGGAGATACAAGTCATAGTAATGGCTTTTCTAACGGCTTTTCCAAAGATATTGACATTCAGGATGATGAAAATGAGGAAGCTATGGGTAAGTTAGCCTGAGAAACAATGCCTTACTTTACTTTCTCTAGCAGAAATAGTATTTTTGTTAGTATTTTATTTGTAGCTTTATGTGAAGAAACTATTTTTTTATACATACATCTTTATCTAGTCCTACATATTTTTTTCTAGAAAGTACACATGTAAAAATAAGTTAAAAAAATATAGAAAAATTATGCACTGTAGTATGGCACTTTGATATTTATAGCACATTACTCACAGTACATAATATAGCAAATCTTTTTTCTTATAGATGGTAGATATTTGAGCAAATTTTCAGTAGTTTGAAGGAAATGCAATTTTTGTAAGTTTAATGAATAGTGATAGACTGTGGAGCCTGATGCACAGCTGACTTGTGACACAAGACCAGAGTTTTGAGGACTAACTATACAAGGTATTTAGTTTTTCTATATAAAATCATGGCTTGATAATGGTGTAGGATGGACCTAGATGTATTCTAAAGCCTGATCTCCCAAGTTAGTGGTTAGTAGCGATTTTTTCTCATCAGCCGTCTAGTTGTAAATTGCAAATACATCTTGATGTTGCACAAGTCCCTTATGTTCTGTCTTTACATATGCTTGCTTATCAAGCCATGTGTTAATTCTCTGAAAATTGCTGTGAGTACCTGAGGAGACTCAAGTGATCTTTTACAAGAATAATTTCAAATATTTAAACTTCTGGATGTCTGGCTCTTAATCACATTGAGTAATACTTATCAAACCATTTAAAAGAGAACATGTAATGCATGGGACTTGAAAGCTCGCAAAACAATTGGTGTGTAAATTAACCACTACCGGTATATGCATGTTATAATATTATGACTTATTTAGTGCAGTGGTAGAAAAGTGGCCTAAATTTAGAAATTAGCAATAAGCAGGGCAACTAGAAAGTATAAACGTCATTACTGTATATGTGAAAGATCCTCTGGAAATTGAAAAATTGCACATGCTGTGTAAGCATGAGAATTGAGAAGCCATTGTACAGTTTCCCATCTTCCGGTGATAAAGTAACATTCCTGACTCACGAAATCGTAATGACACGATTGCAAACAAACCATACCCCGGCCGGGATTGAACCCGCGGACTCTCTGACCGCGGGTTCAATCCCGGCCGGGGTATGGTTTAACATTCCTGTATCTAAAAAATTCTTTGAAAAGGCATTATGAGGAGCATGTTTTACCATATATTCATAAAATCAGTAGGTGAATGGGCAGGTTTCACCTTTAAGGCTTCTGATTATACAAACAAGTTACAGCCCTCATGGTATTCCAAAAATACTGTACGTATGGGTAGTAGAAAGCGGGCAGATGAGTATGCTATGCCTGCTCGGCAGGCAAAACATCTTGTTAATGAAGACAGCAATAATTTGCATTAGTGTCTTTCTCGTCTACTTGTCGGTATTGTATACCATTAATATAACAACACAGAGCAAACATTTATTATGGCTACATAAAAACTCGCTTTGTTCTGAACATCTTGGTATTACCTGAATGTGTTGTTGTTGTTCTTGGGAAATTCTTAACGGCTCGATTCCTGGCATGCATGGAAAAAAAAATCCAGGTTAACTAGATGTGAAGGGTTACTGAAGACTGTGTTGAAGAAAAATATGTGTAGATCCAGCTGTTATTGTGATGCAGTTCCTCCTCTAGTTATGTAAAGTTTTATGAAGTCATTGACTTGTTAAAGATCTACACAGCAGTTCATTATCATAATGCTTATTCTGCAAGATTAACTGCACTGAGTATGATGGTAGAAGATAATAGATGCTGCTCTTTTTTTTTAATACATCGGCCGTTTCCCACTGAAGCTGGGCGATACAATGGTTGAAAAGTTGGGGTGTTAAAAGCACACAGAAAATAGTGGCATTATACTCCAAGACTTTTTAGTATATTACTGGCAAGTAGAAGTAATGTTGCAGATACTACCCTCCGAGGAAGGTGTGTTGATACCAGTCAGAATTCTCTTGGTTCAAGACATTGGAACTACACCCCTTCCACTGCAGAAATCTGATTATTTTTCATTCTCCAAGCACTGTATGACCCCAACAAGTTTAGCATATCCATGTGATAATTAAAAGTATAGTACAATGCATGACAGAATTCTCTAGTTACGAGACAAATTTCAGGCGAGGACGGATAGTGCAAATTCTTCTTTTCTTTCAACGTACCAGCCGTATCCCACTGAGGTGGGGTGGCCCAAAAGAAAAAGCTGAAGTTTCTCCTTTTAAATTTAGTAATATATACAGGAGAAGGGGTTACTAGCCCCTTGCTCCCGGCATTTTAGTCGCCTCTTACGACACGCATGGCTTACAGAGGAAGAATTCTGTTCCACTTCCCCATGGAGGGATAGTGCAAATATTTTCTATTATTATTTGTCTCGTTTCCCCCTACTATATAACAGACCAAAAATTAATTTGATATGTGCATATAGTTCAAAGACAGATTTCTTTGTTTAAGGATTTTATACTTTTAACTCGTGAGTCTCCTTCCAAAGTAAGACTGTTTTTGTAAATTTCCTTATAATGTGTATGTTGCAGCTCCTGTGTGCTTTGTTGTTGACAGGTTTCTTTGGCCAGTTTTCTGGCATGCCACTCTACTTTTCACTCGGCCTTTAACAGGCATTACTCACAGTGTACATGTCAGCCGTTTGGAAGGCTTTTTAAAGGCCTTGATACCAAGAAAATCAGCAGCGATCTCCCCGATGTTGCTGATGCTTAGAGAAAATGGTCAAAATTGATGAGGTGGTGGTGGTAGTGTAAGCAACACTCTACCATCTATCTACCTGATGGTACCATTGGTTAAGTAGGGTGCAAGATGGGTTTACATGAATGAAATCAAGGCAACCTATGGAAGGAGGTGCTTATTTTGTCCTGAGGACAGTGAAAGGACCCAAGAGATGGAGCACAGCCTGATAATTTGGTTTGTAGTCCAGCGGAAACATCGAGGTTTTCTCTCTCTCAGGGCCGATCATCCAAGAAGCAGCTGAGGAAATTCAATTGAAAACTCTCAGGCACCTGCCCCCCGTAAGGCTTCTCTACATTGGAAGATTGGCTGGATAGCTTTACCAGTTGAAGATCGCCAAGTTTATTGAGAAATCGCAGTAGACCCTACACCATCGTACGAGTAGCCAGCTGTCTCAACCTTTGGAGTCGACTCTTCTCAGCTAGTTTGACAACTGTTAAGTTTGATGGATCTAAATCACCAGTAATAAGCATTTTATTTGTTCTTTCTGTATATAATAATTTATTATTTTTATTATTATTACAGTATTATTATTTATAACAAATGCAGTATATTTGGTATGAATTATGGGTAAAATGTGGATAGAAATGTTGATGCCTGTAGTATATGCAGTATTTTTGGTAGAACTAAAGCTGACACATCAAAATATTAGTATTCTTTACTGATACTATATCGTTAAGACAGCAACAACACTAGGCTTGGCACATGACCAACATTTGACTGGTCGAGCAGTATAAGGGTTGTCATGACCAATACTGGACTGGACAACAATATAAGGGTTATGTCATGACCAACACTGGACTGGACAACAATATTAGGGTTATGTCATGACCAACACTGGACTGGACCAACAATATAAGGGTTATGTCATGACCAACACTGGACTGGACAACAATATAAGGGTTGTCATGACCAATACTGGACTGGACAACAATATAAGGGTTGTCATGACCAACACTAGACTGGACAACAATATAAGGGTTATGTCATGACCAGTACTGGACTGGACAATAATATAAGGGTTGTCATGACCAACACTGGACAACAATATAAGGGTTATGTCATGACCAACACTGGACTGGGCAACAATATAAGGGTTATGTCATTACCAACACTGGACTGGACAACAATATAAGGGTTATGTCATGACCAACACTGGACTGGACAACAATATAAGGGTTATGTCATGACCAACACTGGACTGAATGAACAATATAAGGGTTATGTCATGACTAACACTGGACTGGACAACAATGTAAGGGTTCTGCCAGCGAGTTCTTCAAGGCTGGTGTGTTGATACTGGCGAAGGCATCGTTGTTCAAGGAATATCTCATGGGCCTGCTGTTTTTTCCACTGGTTGGCCATGGGTTTGAACTCCACTCTGTTCAGTAAATTGGAGATGATAGGTGTATTCATTTTGAGTTCACCTGAAGGGAGGCACTTTAATGCCAGTAGGCAGCTCTTGTTCCATGGAATTGGAGCTATCCTCCTTTTTCCATGATCAAACCTGATTGTGTCCCTTCCTTTGCGACTTATCTTTCCCCATAGAAATAATTCCACAAATAGCTAAGATATGCAGTATGTTGGCCCATTATATACTGTAAATGTTGCATGCATGGATAGCTGTTTAACTTTCCTTGTATGCAACATACTATACTTGTAAGTAAAGGTTAAATATTTTATTTCTCGAAATTAGGTTGCAATTCACATTTAAGACTGTTCCATAATGTTCTGGTCTTTTGGAACCATCCCTAAGCATTTAATAGGGTAGGCCTGTATATACCCATTTTTTTCCTGGGGAAAACCTCACTTTCTCATCCTGTATCACCATTTACATGACCTTAGTCCATCTTTTCTAAATACAGTGGACCCCCGGTTTACAATATTTTTTCATTCCAGAAATATATTCAGGTGCCAGTACTGACCGAATTTGTTCCCATAAGGAATATTGTGAAGTAGATTAGTCCATTTCAAACCCCCAAACATACACATACAAACGCACTTAAATAAATACACTTACATAATTGGTCGCATTGGGAGGTGATCGTAAAGCGGGGGTCCACTGTAGTGCTGTATTTCTTGCCGAACATTGGATTATCCTCTCCAGGGGCTATTTTTTCTGTACAATCAAAGCATCATATTTGCCAGCTTAATAATTCAGAGGATTTTATTAAATACTACTTTTTCTGAAGGGTATTTCATGATTAGCTTCAATTCTTTGAGAGTTTAAGATGTGTCCATTATTATTT